GGAAGCAGCGTTCCCAGGAGAACGAGTGTTCCGTCTTTCTCAATTATATGGAAATGATAATATAAGTAACAAAGACGAAACACTCGTTCTCCTGGGAACGCAGCTCCCCGGTTTCAAGAATGAGGATCCAGGACAGAAGGAGCTCCGTGAACAAAATTTCTCCTCCTTACCAAAAAAAGCGAATAGGTGGCCGGATGTGAAAATTTTTGTCGCCCCGCAAAAAAAAAACGCGTGTAATACGATTCTTGACGCGTAACATTTGGGTATGTAACAGGTGAATTCCTGACAAAAATAAGCAACTTTCACATTTTTAAATTAATCTGTTAGCTAGTCATTCTGATAACATCTGTATACTTTTTTCCCAAAAAAAAAATATCGAATTTTTAAACTGCTGCGAAAACGCGGGATAGGAAAGGGACGTCACTTTTCCAAACATGCGAAAATGCAGAATTTCTCATTAGTAAACCATTCCAAAATATGGCTGATGAAAAACCAATTAACTATAAACTACATGTACCATCGTCACCAAAAGTATCTGGGACACAAATTATGCATAATAATCTCCTGGACTAATGCTACTGTCATTCATTTCAATGCATTTTATTCATAGTTTGACAAATAGTTGACAATAAAATTCATATAATAGAACAAGAGCTTATGTAAAGCTGTCCCAGTTACTTTTAGTGACGACGGTACCTGTGTCCTTATTCTTGAAACAGGGGAGCAGCGTTCCCAGGAGAACGAATGTTCCGTCTTTCTCAATGATATGAAAATGATAATATAAGGAACAAAGACGGAATACTCGTTCTCCCGGGAACGCTGCTCCCCTGTTTCAAGAATAAGGACTCTGGAATGGCCCGCCCCAGCCTATCTATAAAATGAGGCAAATTGAGATGGAGAATGTGGGGGATAACTATCTCTATTTACCTTATGGGCCAATTATGAAAATCTTCCCTTGTCTAAAAAATATTATATTTGAGGTTAGGAATATACACCAAACCTAACAGCAATATCAATGAACTAGAGAGAGAAAGATATCCCCCACTATATAGCTATCTTTGCACGCACTGAGAGAGATGACAAATGCCATATCCGACAACGGTCGCTGCCATTCCAGGTAGTTTATAGTTCATTGTAAAAAACTAGTCACAACCTATGACCTATTTTCGTCCTTTTCTACTTTATAGTTTGGAGGGAGCAGTAGACCCTGCAACCCTGCCACATTTATTATCTAGAGCATTTACATAATAATAACTATTTCAATTGTAAACTTAGGGTAGCTATGGAAATTCATGCTATAGTTATTTGATCTAGCAAACAAGTATAGTAATAGTAAATACCCCGATAATACATCGAGAAGCAATAGTTGTTTTCCTAACAAGTGCGGAAAGTGATACTTTCCCGCACGCGACTGCCGTTGACCCGAACGACGCGAAGCGAGCACTAGTGCGGGAAAAACAAAATCGCGCACTAGTGCGGGAAAGTGAAATTTTCGGAACTAAGATGCGTGCGGGAAAGTAATAAAAAATGCACGCTCGTAGAAAAATAATATTGCAGCTTAGCATCTAGATGACTGAACACCCGTATATGCAGCCACAGCAATAATACAGAATTTGATATCCACAACAATCTTTAAATACTACAAAAGATACCTAAATTCTACATCTTACATCTATATATTACATTCAATCCATCGTTTATACCAGAAGCAAAAAGAAAGGATATGTATAATCAGTGAACTCTAGCTACCTAGTAAAATGATCCTAAAATGCTTCGTCATTTTTAATGTGACAATAAGCGCATGAATGCTTTGGTCAACCTTTTTTGTTAAAAAAACCCCCCCAAACCAAAATCCTGGATACGCCAATGGTTGACACTGTCAATTTAGTAGCACTAGTGCGTAAATTGAAAATACTTCACGTACTAGTTCGTGAAGTATTTGTCTAAATCAATTTTTTTACACATATTTGATTGGTATGTAGTAGAAAAAATTTTGTATGCAATACGTGTGTAAAGAACCTTTTTTCACTCATGTGATTGTTCATGAAAAAAGGTTCACTTTACACACTTGTTGCATAAACAACTATTTTCTACATTTAAAATCGACGAAAAAATTAACTCACTAGCACAGCCTGAATCGCGAGCATTCCAACAAGGGCTGCGGGTGATGTCATCACTATAAGCTGCTGATAGTGAGAGTGAGGTCACTCGCAGGCCCACAATTTGATGGGGAGGGAGTTAGGGGAGTATGACATAATTGATAGTTCATTATGGTATTTATATCTCTAATAACATTCTGATTGACACATCACATGACCCAGCATAATCAGATTAGTTTTATTTGATTTCCCGATACTCCTGTTGCTGTAATTTTTAATACAAGGTCTATTTTCAAGTTTTCAACATTTTACGCTCTCAAACAAATCATATTTTTTCTAGTAAATATGTACTAAAAACGTAAAGTAATGGGTACCACAAGTATTCGTGGCGCGTTCGTCCCTGTACGTCACTTTTTGAGCATTGTGTACGCGTACCATATTTAAAGTCTGGCAATGCTGCAATAAGGACCGAATTTCAACTGCTTTGTTCCAACACAGCAGGAAACCATACAATATATAGGTAATCTGGCAAGTGGTAACTTGATAGAGATGAAAGGGGGATGATACAACCATGTCTTTGGGTTCTGTGGCATCGAAAACACCAAGGAAATAACCAATAAGATTATTCAAAAAAAAAATTCTTTAGTTTCGCCAATAACCACGCCACTGTGCCTGTGGCTGTGCTGTCGTTCAGGCTCTAACCAATAGAATCATGCCTCTGAATAATCACGCCTTTTCACATTCATCATTTCGCAATGTTGCCGGATTTTTTTCTATTTCAAAATACTACACATGCCCATACTGCAAAAAAAAATTGTCACCAACTATGTATAACACATATGGTAAGATTGCTGCAAATTAGATTTCCTAATAAAAAAATCCAGGTCCGTATTTGAAAAAAATAAGTTGATGATGGTATCCTGAAGACGAAACGTTGGATTTAATATTACAAAACACCATATTGTAGAGCAAAAAAAATCATGAAACTTTCAAATTTGAAGAATGTCTCTGAGATTAATAGTTTTCGAAATATTCGAGAAAATAATTTTAGGTGTTTTTCACAAATCACCCTGTATCTCGGAAACTTATAAAAATTTGGCAATAACGAAAATATATTTAAAAATACCCTTTGAAAATGGCAACTTTTTTCTAATTTAACCGCCCTCATATCTCTTACCATTTCTGATATACCAATGGTGGTCCATGGTATTTTGGACACCCTGTATATTAATAGCTCATTGAAAAGCTCTGCTTTTGCTGATTTTAATGATATAAAGTTCGATAGGTGGATCTCTATTAGTTTCCGAGAAAAATAGCTATTTACCTAACAAGTGCGGAATAGTATATTCTATAACAAGTGTGGAATAAGCAAAATTCTACACGAGTGTAGAATTTTGAATTCCACATGTGTTATAGACTATACTTTTTCTACGACTAGAATCAAATGAAATAATCAACAACGGACCACACAGGCACAGATAGGAAAGCCTAGGGTGATTTCGAACGCACTCCAAAATTTGATCTTTTAACGATACGTCAAGTATCAACATTGTCAAATAGCGTTTTCTATTTTCCAACTCAAAATCGAGAATCGCCCTCTAGCGGCTAAACGGTTGAAGATATCAAAATGCGGTTTGCACCAATCGAGATTTAATGAAATTTGACCCTCAGAGTGGGGGGTTAATTTTTTTCTATCTCTAAAAATAAAGGGTGTTTCCATAAGAAAGTGTCCAATTTGGAACACCCTGTAGGCTGTATGTATGTACCATCGTCACCAAAAGTAACTGGGACAGCATCACATTAGCTCTTGTCCTATTATATGAATTTTATTGTCAAATATTTGTCAAACTATGAATTGACCTTTTGTTTGGACGCCATATTGCGGTGCGCGAACATAGTTGCCAACAGTAGAGAAAAAAGTTACTAGCGTTCTGTCAACTTGAAAATCCAAAGTTAGTGAATAAATTACATTTAAAATTTAAATTTGCCGCCTATTACGAATGTTTTTGGAAAGAAAAGCCATCAATTTTAGCTTATATTGGGCAGAATAGAAATAATAAAATATCTAGTTGACAGCCCGCTAATAGTTTTTGGTTTTCTTGTTTTGGCAACTATGTTCGCGCACCGCAATATGGCGACGAAACAAAAGGTCAATTGACCTTTTGTTTGGACGCCATATTGCGGTGCGCGAACATAGTTGCCAACAGTAGAAAAAAAATTTATTAGCGTTCTGTCAACTTTAAAATCCAAAGTTAATGAATAAATTACATTTAAAATTTAAATTTACCGCCTATTACGAATGTTTTTGGAAAGAAAAACCATCAATTTTAACTTGTAATGAGCAGAATAGAAATAATAAAATATCTAGTTGACAGCCCGCTAGTAATTTTTGGTTTTCTTGTTTTGGCAACTATGTTCGCGCACCGCAATATGGCGTCAAAACAAAAGGTTAATTAAATGCATTGAAATGAATGACAGTAGAATTAGTCCAGGAGATTATTATGCATTATTTGTGTCCCAGATACTTTTGGTGACGATGGTACATACATAGAATTGAATTCATAAATACTAACATGAAAAGATTCAGGGAGTAGTCAGAAACAGGAAAATACCAGTGGCGTACACTCGATCAAATCGTTCATGGGACGATTTTTTGACGTGCTGGAACAAACCTGATAAAACTTTTTAATGCATAAGCTAGAATTGAATTAAATTTATAATCAAATCCATAATTTAGCATTTTGCACGCTAGCTATACATGTAACTACATAGAATATGCCGTGGGTCACGCACCTCATCATAGCTCCTGGCAGGAAAGGAACAAAAGCATAATCGCCTGCTTGGGAAATTAGCTCTTTAGTCCATTATCGTGCGAAAACCTCATATTTTTTTTTGTTCCAGGTCATTGCCGGCAACATCAACCCTTACCTGGAGTCAAAACGGCAATTAGATCCGCCGCTATGGACCAGCAAAATTCGCTTTTATCCTTATAGTTTTCACAAGAGGACCGTTTGCATGCGGGTGGAATTGTACGGGTGCAAGTGGACCGATGGAATTGTGAGCTATTCGATGCCTCAAGGGGATAAAAGAGGAGCTAATTGGGAATTTTTCGATCTTGGGTCAGTATAAGTAAAGAGAATTTTTGATGAATTTATGAATATTTTTCAAAATTATTAATAATTACTATACCTAGTATTAGAGATTTGTCATTTTCAATTTTGATTCATGAATTCACAACTTCACAAATTTCTGGCTCAATCGAGTCAATCGCCTTGAATTTTCAATATATTTTATATCAAAACCATCAAATCCTTGAATTCATTTAAACACTTTTATTATAATCGTCATCAAGATTTAGAGAAAAAAAGTAAAGATTCTTTTGATAATGCTTTCAATTATAAAAATCTGATTTACTTCAGATGTAGGTAATAGAGATAGAGATATCAAAACAATCTAATCATTGATCATTGTCCCGGAAAAATAAATCACTCCAGAAAGGAAGAGAAAGCCTCCTTTGTATTTGAGTGATTTCTGAGTAAACTGCAAATCAAATATCAAATTCTGATTGGAAATGATTGTTTCTTATTTTCAGGTATGATGGTGTATGGGACGGTCACGAACTCAAACACGGTCTTGGTCAACTCATGGACGGAAAATTCGGCCACGACGATTTCAAAACTGATCTGTCCGAAGGCCAGACTTGGGTCGGGTGGAAAAACGACTCGCGTCACAAACCTATAGAAATCAGATTCGAATTCGACAGAGTCCGCGAATTTTCCGGGGTGCACATTTTCTGCAACAACCAATTCACCAAGGACGTGCAAGTTTTTTCTTTGGCGAAAGTCTTGTTCAGTATCGGTGGCAAACGGTTCAACAAAGGCGAACCGATTACTTACGAGTATATGGAGGATAGGATTTTCGAAAATGCTAGAAATATATCAATTAAGCTGCATCATAGAGTGGGCAAATTTGTTAAAATCCAATTATATTTCGCCTCAAAGTGGATTCTAATAAGCGAAATTTCATTTGAGTCAGTTGTAGCCCATGGAAATTTCACTGTGGAACCTGAACCTACAACCACCCCACACATAAGGGTAGCAACAGACCACGAACACAAAATCGAAATCCCTATACAAACTGACGTAAACGAACCCGCAGTAATTGCAATCATAATAATCGGAATTGTAATAGTTTTAATACTACTAGGAGGAATTGTCGTTTTAATTTACAAATTCAAAAATCGTAAATACCTTCGCAGTCCTAACACATCGAATTTAGGCTTTCCAAACGCTACTTTGCCTCATCGCATCCAGGGCAACGAAAGTGTTTACAGTATGCCAGAAAAAGATCACATCGAAGCCTATGGAGTGACAGAAATTAATAATTCCGGCGACGAGTATTATCGAAAGGGCCACGGAGCAGGCTCGATTAAGTCAAGTTTGAGATCCACGTTGCCGTTGCCGCATCCAGAGGAGAACACTTATCAAGAGCCCTATCAGGCTATGAAGTTTGCTCCGTATTATAGTTATAGTCCTATTATAATGGAGATGACGAATTATAATGCCAGTCCGAAGAAATCGAATAATAATTCTAACTGTGGTAAGTAATAGTAATTTATTGATAAAGAAAAGTCCAATTAATTTCCAGGTTGTTGCATGGGCCCCCCCTCCATGGTTTTAGAGAAAAATAGAAAAATAATTGTATATATAAATAAAGCTGTAAACTGGTCATATTATAATATATTCCTGAGTGATGCCAACTCTAGGGATTTGTCCCTAGTTCTAGGGATAAAAATGCAAAAAAAAAAAATTGTCTAGGGATATAGGGAAATTCTAGGAGGTTTTCTGAAATTTTTAATTTTTCTTATACAATTTAATAAATTCTAAAAAAATTAATATGTATTTAATACAGGGTGTCCCACGAGGTTTTTCCCAAATGATAACTTCGGAACGCATCATCGTATGTTCCACTGTATAATTATTTAACATTTTCTTTAACAAAGCCTTAACAAATATGGCATTGCCGATTTTGTTATTTAATTTTCTAACGAAAAATGGTAATGGTATACTTTTAAGATTCGAAAGTTGACGTCACTTGACCGAAATTGAAGTGAAAGTGGTGAAATTGGATGACAATGTTAGAAGCGGCACAAAAAGTTACCCAGATCCTCAAAATTTCAATTATATTGGATGACGCGTTCCGAAGTTATTACCTGGGAAAAACGTCGTGGGACATCCTGTATATAGTATTACATATTCTTTAAAAAATCGGAAGTGACCTTATTATTGGTTCGTCTGAGTAATTACATACAACAGTATCATTTTTGTATGTTGTGAAGTGCTCTTCGCCTTTCGTGTAACGTGATGTGTGTGGGCTTGGTGTGTAGGGATTCCCGCAACAATCGCGTCGAATCAGAAGACAGTTGGTAAGAGTCTGTAGTCACTAGCTTTGTTTTGGTTCCACTCCGAACTAGTTCGTAGTTCGGAAACATTCATCGAACTGTTTTGACAGTGTTTTGATTTATCTATTAGAACTATTCAAGAACAATTCTGGGATCTAGAACGGTTCACTCAGTTCTTGCTCTAAAGGAGGAACTGTTTTAGAATTTTGTGATTTGCGGCATTTTGTTTTTTTTGGTTCCGTATCGGTTCAGAACTAGTATAAGAACAGTCTGCAATTATTTTGTGTGCGCAAGCAGTTCTGCGCAATCCCAGAACCGTTCTAAATTTCGAATCAAAACAAAGCTACGTCGCCACCCCACCAGTAACCAGTGTTACCAATGTGTGAGCATTTGCTCACAATTGTGAGCGTTTGATATATGGGGGTAAAAATGGGAGCATTGACAAGATGTGAGCATTTTGTGGGCATTTTTGGTATTTATTAACCGAAAAAAATAAAAATTAAATTAAATTCGTCCCAACACGAGAGCCATGCCATGTCATAACTCGTGGCAAAGCAAAGAGCAAGCGCCTAACTTTTTAGAAAAGAACTATGTATGTCACGTCACGTGTCAAGATTGTCAAGAGGCCGTTTTAGAAACGCTGATTCCATTCAAGGATGATACACACTCACTACTACTACAGGATGGCCTATCCTCATAAGAGTCATAAGGCCTCTGTGTAACAAATCCCCCCCAAGGCCAAAATACCAGTTGTGACGTAGACAGAATGTCATTTCTTGCCTTAACTGTTGACGTAGGCTGTTTAAACAGCTGACGACTTAGTTATGACGTCAGAAATGGTATCACACCAATATGGCGGCGATGACCAAAAACGAGGCTGATAAGCACTCCTTATGCCCCATTCTCACTTGCGCGAAATTCGCTCTTTTTTGACATTGCATCGACAAATTGACGTTTAATACGCGCATAAAACGTCAAATTGTCGAAGATATCCCCTCTTTTCTATTCTAATCGGTGACTTCTCCGATGAGTTAGCTATCTTCGTTTAGTGAATGAAAAATGACAATGACCGACATAGAATGTCAAAAAAGAGCGAATTTCGCGCAAGTCAGAATGAGGCATTAGAGTGTGTATTCTCAGGTGCTTTCCAGTGACCCATTTGAGTTACTCCTGAGCAGCTCAGGAGTGCTCTGCGCGTTCCAGTGCTTAGAGTGTCGTACACTTGAGCTACTCATTTCTGTTATCCCCTGCCCCCTCGTGCACCAACCCATTTGTCAGTGTTTCATGCTCCTGAAATCCGAAATGGTGGGGGTTAAGACGAGAGCGTTCCAGTGCTGCTTATATCGAACAGTTCAAGAGCGTCACACTTCAGGAGCATGATACTCTAACAATTTAGGCTCTCCTTGGATTGCAACAGCCAATCACCAACTGTTTGTTATTTATTTTTTTCTAGTGAACACGATTGAAAAACGACAATGTACATCAGCCTGGTGATCCCGTAGTCAAATGTCAAATGTCATACTTAATACTGGAAAACTCGAAAACACATTTTGACATTGACGTTATTTTTAGTGCATGAGAGCACAATAGTTGTATTCCTTTCACACTTAGGAGGAGCTCCGGAACAGCTCCGGGGCTTCACGCGCTTATTCCTTTCGAAAAGTGTTTGTTGCACCACGCATATGTTCCCTGCAAATCGGGGGCGACTAAGCACCGAAGCGAGTAGCACGAGTGTTTCAAGCTCTTGAAAGGAATACAACTATTGTGAGCGTTTTCACTACAAATGGGGAGCATTTTGATAACTTCCCGTTGGCAACACCAGTGTTACCAATGTGTGAGCATTTGCTCACATTTGTGAGCATTTGATAGATCTGGGGGTAAAAATGGGAGCATTGGCAAGATGTGAGCATTTTGTGGGCATATTTGGTATTTATTAACCGAAAAAATTAAATTAAATTCGTCCCAGCACGAGAGCCATGTCATAACTCGTGGCATAGCAATGAGCAAGCGCCCAACTTTTTAGAAAAAAATTATGTATGTCACGTCACGTGTCATTCAAGAGGCCATTTTAGAAACGCTGATTCCATCCAAGGATGATACACACTCACTACTACACCCTATTTTTTCCCAAGATAGATTTTGACATTGTCAACTTTGTAACATAAACAATACCGCGTGGCTCTGATTGGTCGCAAAATGCCGTGTCCCTGCAGGTGAGGTATCCTTTTACATTGGAGTGCAGGTACACGTCGGCAACCAATAAGCGGCATTGTTTATGTTTCAAAGTTGTCATTGTCAAAATCTGTCTTGGGAAAAAATAAACTGTACTACAGGATGGCTTATCCTCATAAGGCCTGTGTGTAACAAATCCCCACCACGCCAAAATACAAGTTGTGACGTAGACAGAATGTAATTTCTTGCCTTGACGTAGGCTGTTTAAACAGCTGACGACTTAGTTATGACGTCGGAAATGGTATCACACCAATATGGCGGCCATTGCCAAAAACGAGGCTGATAAGCACTCCTTATGTCTCATTCTCACTTGCGCGAAATTCGCTTTTTTTTGACATTGCATCGACAAATTGACGTTTGATACACGCATAAAACGTCAAATTGTCAAAGATATCCCCTCATTTTTATTCTAATCGGTGACTTCACCGATGAGTTACATAGCTATCTTCGTTTAGTGAATGGAAAATGACAATGACCGACATAAAATGGTGGATCCATCGGTAAAATTTGATGAGAATAAAAACGCAGGGAATGTCAAAAAAGAGCGAATTTCGCGCAAGTCAGAATGAGGCATTATGCCTCATTTTCACTTGCGCGAAATTCGGTTTTTTTGCGCGAAATTCGCTCTTTATTTGACTTTGCTTCGACAATTTGACATTTTATGCGTGTATCAAACGTCAAATTGTCGAAGCAATGTCAAAAAGAGTGAATTTCGCGCAATTGAGAATTAAGCTTTATAGTGTGTATTCTCCTTGGATTGCAACAGCCGATCACCAGCTGTTTGTTATTTATCTTTTTCTAATGAACACGATTGAAAAAAGACAATGTACATCAGCCTGGTGATCCCGTAGTAAAATGTCAAATGTCATAGGTACTTAAAACTGGAAAACTCGAAAACTATTGACATTTTGACATTGACGTTATTTTTAGTACATGTGAGCACAATGTGAGCGTTTTCGCTACAAATAGGGAGCATTTTGATAACTTCCCGTTGGCAACACTGGGCAACACTGCCAGTAACGTCATAACAATGTTGTATTGCTTTTGGAAATTCTATGTTGTTTTTTAAAAACTTGAGGACTATTGCGATTAGTTTTGAAAATACGATTTTTTTTTCTTGTAAATCTTGTTATAATAGTAATTCTAAAATAAATTTGAAAAAAATAATCTAGGGATATTTTTTTTCAAATCTAGGTATTTTCACAACCCAGCAATTGGCAACACTGGGACAAAATTATCGCACCACTGCACATAAGCAGTGGTGCGATAATTTTGTCTACGAGAATATAAGACTTAGGGGGTGTAAACCTTAGATTGTATTAACCAAAAATACGTTTTTGGTTTATGTAAAAAAATCCAAGAACAACATCGAAAACTTCGCCACTCTGCCGGATTCGCATGAAAAGATATCAGTCTTTAGAGTTTGCAACAATACGTAGACGTGACATCACAGCCCGAACCCAAAATATTCTCAGAGGCGGATTTCCTATGAAGGAGAAGAAGCAGCCGCTTCCAGCGCCAAATTTTAGGGGCGCCAAAAATTTCAAAATTTAAGCAACTGGTTATCAAACGTAATACCACAAGAGGTTCCAGGATAACCGGATAATACCTGTCACAAAACGCGTTACGCAGCAACACCACGACTTCGAAGGAGGAGTGGTGTTGCTGATAACGCGTTGAGTGTCAAGTGAAAGTATTAGGTAATCCTGAAACATCGAGTGGTATTCAAAAGGTTATACAACTCACTGTACATTATTCCCATATGATACGAGAGGCTTAACAAGTGAAAAGCCTTTTGGGATTATCGCGCTTGGTGGCAATATTGTTATTAATAATAAAAATTAATAAAGTATCGAAGTTTAGTTCGTTGTATAACCTTTTGAATACCATTCGATGCTTCAGGATTACCTGATACTTTTACCTGACACTCAACGCGTTACCAGCAACATCACGACTCCGCGTAACG